GACACTCTGCTGCTCCTATTTGGAGCTCAGGCTCATTTAGGAGCAAACACAACATCTCCAAGAGCTTGCAGTTGTCTGCTGTGATGTGGCTCAGGGCCACCCAGTCAATGTAGCCAGCCAAGGTGTTGAGTGCTGCTATCCCCACGCGGCAGTTTGCCTGGGCCTGTGAACAGAGAGGAGGCAAGAGATCAGAACCAGAGAGAAACACCAACTCCCGCCTAAAGCTGTCCACTCCCTGGAAGAACAGCATCAGGAACCACCCCAAGAGTGAGGTGGCAGCAGACGCGTGCAAGTCCCCACACTAAGGATGTCAGTTAAGGCCTGGACATTTCTCCACCTGTGCCTCACTTCTTTCTTCTCCAGGAATTTGTATTATGGGTGAACAAACCCATCTGTAAATGAGAACTGCAGGTAATGCCCTTCAAAGGCTGGGAGAAGCCTGGTTCTAAGGAATCTTGCTCTTAAGAATGATTAACGCACTAACTCCCACATAGCTCCACTCACCTTTGGCTCCTGAGCCAGATCAGTCTTCTGAAAAAGAAAACAAGAGATGGTGAGTAAGCATCTACAGCAGACACTTCTACCCAGCCACTACTGGACAGGCTTATTCCCGAGAACGCAGCCAGAAGCAGCTTCAAAGAACAGCTCCCTAGTGAAAGGGGCTGCAACACCGTCTCCCGCTCAGGACATTGCTGCAGCCACCATAACCACCTCTGCAGCCCCCTGGCAGGTAAGACAACAGGACTTTCAATTGCAAGTTAAGCCACAATTTCCTTCTCATCCAGAAGATGGCACTCCAGTCAGCAGGGATCATGAAGACACAGGGGACAAGAAGGAAAGGCATTTCAGTGCTTCCTGGGAGCTTCCAGGGAAGAAACTTTTGACCTTTTAGAGCATCTTACATCCAAAATACACACTCTGAAAGATGCTGGTGGCTTTTATGTACTGAGATTGATGTCTGAAAAGGGAAAGTGATTTGTCCATGTTCAAAAAGGCAGCTGGAGAGAAAGCTGGGGCAAGAGCTTACAGCCTGACTCCCAGTTCCAAACACTTAACAGTAGCTGCAATGCACTGCTTGCACCGTCTTTTTAACTAATGCAAACAAGTCCCTCAGACACTCAGGTTTGATTTGTTTTTCAGATGCAAAGATACCACAAGCATTTCTTTCCTCTGCAAGGTTTCGGTTTGGAAACTTTGTCCACCAATGTATTCAGTGCAGTGATTTTAAGTTAATCTGGCTGTGCTCCAAACATTTAACAACTGAGCCACCATAACAGAACTGCAGATTATTATGGTCCTGGGGAACTGTCCATCATCTCCCCCAGTCTCACTGTGCAGACAGGTAACTGAACACCCAACCCTCAGAATTTACCCTGTGCAAAATATCCCAAAGATCTGCTAACCTGTGGAGTGGTGAGGGCTTCTTGTTCCTGGGGTGCTCCAACCTTGCCAATCAGAAAGATTTCACCGTTAGGAGAAGCAGCCACACTTCAGAGCCTCAAGCACTGCAATTCAAACCTTACCTGGAAATGCATTTCAACCAGACTACAAAATGCTCCAGGGTCTCCCACCCACCACCATGAACTGCACAGAGAACTGCCTGCTCTACAGGTGGGTTTGTTCAGCCCGGCAGTGCATCAGGAAAACGAACAGAAGTCAGGTAGGAGAGGGTTTTTCATTGCCTCCCCGTTTCATACTTGGTGTAACTCTGGATTTTAATTCACAGAAAAAAAACCTAAACAACTTGTTTCTAGATTGGTTTCTCAGTCGTGCTTCACTCTCAAATCTACCTCCTTCTCACAGGAACAGACTGCAGTAGAGACTTGTCTTCACCATCCATCGTGACCAACCTGCACATCTCTGACCTTAGGTAAGAATTCAGGAAAGAAGTCTCTTTACACAAAAAGGAAGAGCATTCCTCACCACAGCTTGACTAGAAAGGGGCTTCCTGACCTGACCTCTTGGAGAAAAGGACCAGAGAGGCCCAGATGCAATGCTGAGACATCAAAACCTCAAGCACTTTGATGCATCACCACAAAGACACCACTGCAGCATACGAGAGCAGATGCAAGCCCAGAATGGCATCTCTTTACCTCCGTCTGTTACATAAACTACCCCAAATCGACCCATTTCTGCCACAGCCACACCTTCATTTTGCTAAGACGTACACCTCTAGTATCAGCAGAGCATTCCAACAGTACGGATGAGGCACACGTGCACTCAAACCACTTCCACTAGCAAATCCAAACTATCAGCACTAACCCTGTCAACCTTGCGTGTTCAGTCTCCCTGAGCAGCACTGGCTTCCCAGGCCACACCAGATCCCTAACTCACGACAGCAACAGCTTTCAGACAGTTTCTGCACTTGTTTCCCTAACAACTTGTGAGCTGTAGCCCAATTCCTAAACGCCTCCAGCACTGACTGAACTCAAGGAAAGGAGACTCTTACCATGCGTCTGTACTTGTTGACATTCTGCTGCAGGGTAGTTAGTAGGAAGCTGAAGATCTTCTCCATGTTCTGGGTGAGGGTTTGCTGGATATCTCGTCGCCGCTGGGTAGGCAGAGTTTGAAAAGTCACCACATCCTCTGCCAAACGTAGCAGGATGAACATCACCAGCTCTGTCTGTGTTTCCTGATGTTGCAAAATGAAACACACTCCATCAGCAAGGTTCAAACATTAAAATCTCTAGAGGCTAGCTCAAGAGTTGTAGAGAGAAAGTGAGCATGCATGAAGATACAAGTCATACATTAGGAAAACAAGACAGAAGAATGTCTCTCTCTCTGCTAAAATAATTTCCTAGAATAACTTAATCTTACAGGGATTTTTTGAGTCCATCATCAGCCTGTCTCCCTGGACCACGAGTGAGTTTGACTTTCCTCAGGATGACAGAAAGACTGAAACCCATACTATGAGCAAGCAGAAGAGAACAGACAGGTGTGTTTCATACCCCTTGCTTGGAGAGGGTATCCAGCTCCTTCAGCATGTCAGGCCAGTGCTGAGGCCATTCACGCTTGATCATCTCCACCACAATGCGAGACAGAACATCCTTAATGTGACTTTCCTCCTCCAGAATACTTTGAGTTCCCTGTGATAGAAAAGGGGCAGTTCTACAAACCAGCAAACATCAGGCATTTATAATTCTGACCTGGGAAGCACAGTGGTTGCAAATATTCTAAACCACACAAAATAAAAACAACAAAACAGAAGACAACATTGGAGCTCTTCATCCCAGCTACCTTATGTGATACTCCTGTCCTCCCAAGCACCCACAGCTAGTGACCTTTGGAAACCAAAAGGATTTTCCTCAAAATAAGGTCACTTGGTCATAAGAGCAGTCACAAGGATAGAGAAAACACAACTAAGATAATGACTTAGTATTCCTGCAAAGGATAAGAACATCCATATTTACTGAATTTCCTTCTAAGAAAAAAAAAAGTACCTTAGGTATGTCATACGAGCCTCATAACTTCCTGGCATGGGAGGTGACATGGTTATTGAGCTGACTACAAGACAGTGAAAAGCACTGGAACAACTAGAGATGTACAGCAAGAAAGTAATGAAATGCAGAACGGAATTCAGGTCCTCTATGCTAATTAACTGGAGTTTTTCTTCCTTTCGCTCCCACTTTCTATCTGCAAGTGAGAGAATGGTGTTTCAGAGAACAGTCTGGGGTAGAAGGTACTTACACTTGATATGAGGCCCATGACATTGTTCTTTAGATAAACTTTTTCTAGGCGAGGCATATTGTTCCAGCGAAACCTGTTCAAAAGAGTTACAAACAAACAAACAAACAAAAAAAGGAGACAAAACCAACACAGAGTCAAAACATTTATAAAGATCTCTGACTTGATTCTCAATGAACTACCACTTCTTCACCTAGAGACAGACACAACAGCTCACTGACATAGCCCAATGCTTTAATGAAAGGGACGAGTTTAAAAACTGCTGCTGGCAAACGGGCGTGCACCATGGAGGCCAACAAACAGGAGAAGCAGCAGCAAAAGCACAAAGCATCAGGTCTGTGGAGGCGGCAGAGAGAGGAATCTCAGAACTGAACTAATACAAAGCCTCTTTGTTAGCACGAGGCCAACGAGGGAGAATGCTGTCAAGACCTACTGATAACCCTGAGAGGTTATTTACATCTTGCAATGTCAATATGTCTTAGAGCTAGGTGAATTAACCTTCCCAACCTGCCTGAAAGCCATTTTCTCCTCTCCTTCTTTTACAGAAGGAAACACAGCAGGCCGGCAACTGTCCCCTGCTGCAGAACTGCCTCTCTGTGGCCTGAGAGTGTCCCCCTGAAGCAGGAGGCGCTGAAGGGGAGCAGAGCCCAGGCCAGCGGCGGTGTGACAGCAGGCCGGCACCCTTCCCCAGCGCAGGGGTACTGGTGGCAGCTCGAGGGGCCTTACTTCACCACATGCTCCAGGATCTGCAGGCCGAAGTGCCGGACGATGGCCGTCTGCGTCTTCTCCGCCAGCTTCAGCCCGCAGGGCACACAGATGGGACACTTCTCCTTGAACTCCTCACAGAACTGGGGAAGGACCAGGGGGGACACGTACACGCAGTTAAACACTGGAGCAGG